CTATTACAATCGTCGACGGTCAACTTTTGCCCTAGCTGGACTTTGACCCTGGATTCGCCCGTGTGTGGGAAAGTTATTCAATGCATGTATGTGACATTGAATTTGACAAGACTTTGTCCAATAAATGAAGAAATTTAGTTAAAGACGTCCTTGAAAGATATTCATAAAATTTAGCCAAATATTTTTCTTCTTTTCAGAAGGGAGCTGTAGTGCTGTACATATAATTAGAAATCAAAATAAGATCACATTGTTATCATATGGCGCAAGCTGATGAGCATATTAAGGAAACTCTATGATGCATAGGAGCAAACAAATAACATTCTATTCGATTATCAAAATATCCCTTTTATTGTTATCATCAACTCTTTTATAGTAAAGTCCCTTCAGCCTGGACAATATTTCTTAGGGGATTTCACCTTAGTAAAGAGTGGGACTTCACCTTGCCTCTAAGAATGTATAGCTGGACATTAGGGTGTAGCATTATTTGAAGAAATTTCTACTGTATTTGTTGATTTGTGATTGTGCAATTGCAATTTGTCGACCCTTTGTTGTCTATTAACGGTGTTGAGAGTTGAGTTGAGTGTGTTGAGCACTTGGGTGACTTGAGTATGTTGGAAACTTGGAGTGTTGATTGACTTGAGACTTGAGTGTTGAACATTTTAGTGCATTTACATATATATCGAACAATTTTTGATATTATTTAATCAAATTTCAATATGATGGTTGATAATCGACGGTCAAAGTCAAAGTCAACGCCCCAGCTGAACGTGGAACCTAGATACGTCCTTGCTAGTCTGTGAGGATTTAAATAACAATTTTTATTATTTATTTATTTTATATATCTATATATATATATATATTTACGTATTAATCTTCGATGGTAGAGTTAATCATTGGTTTGTGTTTTCTTCTGTTGAGGGTTAATCTTATTCTATTTTTATGCAATTTTCTTGTTTTACCAATCTTGTTTGCTGTTGGTTGGTGATTTGTAAAACCCTATTCATGTTCTGTTTTTAGGAATAGTCTTTTACCTTTTTAATTCTGTTTTTGGACTACTTTTTGTCGGATGGGGTTTTTTGATTGAATCAACTAGATTCTAGCTTCAAGTATTATTTTGCCAAACACGATTTTCAGAGTTACTCTTTTTACTAAAAAACAAAACCTTATTTTTTGGAATTATCTCACACTTTAGACTACTGACTTTGAAGCATTGACTACATGATAAAGTTGTTAGAGTAGTAATTTTAAATTAGTTTGGTAATATAATAAGAGTTCTATCCGTGAATTGATATGGAATCTATATTCTTTTTTTGTTATAAATATTCAACTTATTTTCAGTTGTTCACATCATTTTCTTCGATTTCAGGAAGCACGTTATTGCTGAAGGTTATTAGATAACAGCTATCTCAAATATATCACATTGCCATCAGGATACTGGGAGATAACTCAGAAAACATGTCAAATTTTAATATGAATTCCTGTCAATCTTCCTCATGGAAAATCCGAAGCTCCTTACGGGGTCCTGTTGCCATCTTTTGGGACATTGAGAATTGCGCCGTGCCAAGTGATATGAGTTCAGAGGATGTTACTTGTAACATTAGGATGTGCTTACAAGCCCATCCTACAATTAATGGACCAGTGAAAATGTTTTCAGCATATGGAGATTCTAGGGCATTGTCGAGGCGACTAGAAATGGGGATTCACAGGACAGGTGTTCGACTCATACACGTTCCCAACGATGCTGCCTCTGAGAAAATTTCATTCGACTTGTTCCTTTTTGCTCTCGACAATCGCCCGCCCTTATCAATCATGTTAATCTCGGGAGACAGATATTTTGCTCGTGCACTTCATATACTAGGTCAATGTGGATACACTATTATCCTTGTTATTCCATCCAGGGTGGGAGTCTCGTCGGCTTTGAGTAATGCAAGTCATTTTATATGGGACTGGTCTAGTGTGGCTCGTGGGCATGGATTTGTGCCACAGGCTAATGCAAATGTTGCTTGGTTTCCAGTGAAATGCTCAATGAACGAAAGTATAGACAATTTGAAAAGTTATCATAGCATGTCAAATTTTAACATAAATTCTTGTCAATCTTCCTCATGGAAAATCCAAAGCTTCTTACAGGGTCCTATTGCCATTTTTTGGGACATTGAGAGCTGCGTCGTGCCAAGTGATGTGTGTCCTGAGGATGTGGCTGGCAACATCAAGATGAGTTCACAATCCCATCCTAAAATTAATGGACCGGTGACCATGTTTTCCGCATATGGAAATTTTAGTGTGTTTCCAAGGCGACTAAGAAAGGGGTGTCAGAGGATAGGTGTCAAACTTGTAGGTGTTCCCTACGATGCTGTCTACAAGAAAATTTTGGCCGACATGTTCTCTTTTGCTCTCGACAATCGCCCACCCTCAACAATCTTGTTAATCTCAGGAGAGAGAGATTTTGCTCCTATACTTAATGTACTAGGTGAACGTGGATACACTATTATCCTTGTTATTCCATCGAGGGTGGGAGTCTCGTAGGCTCTGACTAATGCAAGTCGATTTCTATGGGATTGGTCTAATGTGGCTCGTGGGCATGGATTTGTGCCACAGGCTCATGCAAATGTTGCTCGGTTTCCAGTGATGTCAGATTCTACATTTGAATGTAATGATAATTTAGTATCAGAATCTATGACTCCAACATCACAAACTTTTACATGTACCCTGGACAAAGTTTCAGCAGGTGCACTTGCTTTTAGTGACCAGAATGACTTGACCCAGGTACAACGAAGGGATCTAAATGTTTTGCGCAGACAACTCGTAAAGTTACTTGAATTGTCAGAGGGATGTTTACCTCTAATCCGGCTTCCTGTAGTGTACCACAAAATGTACGGGAAGTCTCTTTGTGTTTTCAAATATGGGACATCGAAACTTTCAAGACTTCTAAAAAAGATGGATGATTTGATGACTGTCTAGGGAAAACATAGAGACAAAGTCGTCTTCCTTTGTAATTCAAGATCCTGACCATGCGTAGATTTCGTCAGTATCTAGGAACTTTTATGGTCTTTCTTATTTTGAACAATATTGTAGGGGAGCTCTCGATCCTTTTTGAGCTATTGACTCTGTATTATCCTTTAGTTTATATCCATGCGTAGATTTCGTCGGTATCTAGTAACTTTTATGGTCTTTCTTATTTTGAACAATATTGTAGGGGAGCTCACGATCCTTTTTGAGCTATTGACTCAATATTATCCTTTAGTTTATATTCCTTTGATCTGGAATGTCTAGTAAATCATCGATGTTGAACAAGTTTTTCACATGATATCTTTGTTGATGGTTGTTTTTATGGCTCACGTAATTTTGTATTCGGATTTTTAGTTTTCCATGTTTAATGTTGTAGAACATGTTAAAATTTTCTCTCCTCATGTAATCATCTACATTTTCTGCCTGTTGTGGTCATTTCTATATTGTTTAAGTAGGATTACATTTTCTACCCGTAGTAGTCATATAAATGCATTTTGTTATTTGCAAAGTAATTAGATGATTTAAACTTTATTTAGTTTTTCACCAGTACAGGCGGTCTTCACATATTCTTAGTTTTCTAATTTTCATGAATGCGCCTTCATTTGTAACATGGTTTAGTGATGTGGGTGACATCAATTGTTGAATTAAGCAGGATTTTTGGGGGCAATTTTCAATTTTCAATTTTCAATTAACAATGCTTTTAGAATATGTAGTCATCTTAGATTAAAGGTTTTTGTAGGCTCCCGTGGACAAGAAATTCACAATGTACATCGTCTACATGAAGTTGTATGATTGATTGTGAAACACAGCCATATTATAAATTAGATCTCATTCATGAACTTGTCACACATAATAATTTGGCCAAACACATTTTCGATTTAAAGGCATGTTGACTTAATAATTATATATTGAATTAGTTTATTGAAAAAATAGAGTGTCCTGAAAGTATTAATTAATAATGAAAGGGCTTTCTAAATATCACTTAGTGGTATCAATTGTATTGAATTGTCAAGACCTGACTACAAAGAGGTTTTGTGGTAGTTCTGTCCAAGCTTGGAACGTTGATCCTCTTAGTTCGTCCTACTTTGACACTATTGCCTTCCTCACATAAAATGCTGCACATGGTCAAAGCAGTGAATCTCCTTTGAGGAAAAAAGTAACTGCTCACAACAAAGGGATTGATAAGTGTCTGTTTCGATGATAAAAAGGAATTATTGAGTCATGCTTCAAGTTATGTATCAAATACAATTCAGGATGAGTCTGACCACTATCGATCTTCTGACTGGGCTCGAGTATTTGAGGCTGCAACCCAGAGAAGAACAGAAGTTCTTATGCCTGAAAATCTTGAAAACATGTGGACAATTGGAAGAAACTACAAAAAGAAACTCTAGAAGAATACTGCCAGAGGACCTCAGGTTGCACAAGAAAAAATTCCAGAAAGCAATACCATGCTTAGAAAGGATTTAGTGATAGAAGTACCAATGCAAAAGCCTGAAACTTCAAGAAGAATGGAAGATAAAGCACTTATTCAGTTACCACCAAAGCCTCAACCAGATACGGGGTTTACTGATCTGCATCTTAATAAGCAAGTTTATTCCAAGAGGGTCTATTGCTGATGAACTTGAGCATGCTACTTCTGTTTTTCCTTGTGAAAATAGAAATCAGCTTAAAAGGTCAAATAACACTTCTGATTTGAAAGTTCAATTGAACATGGAAGACATGTTTGCTACCAGAGGTGAAACTCCTATCATTTCAGAATTTTATAATCCAAATATTAGCAGGCACAATATATATAATGTCAAGAGTGCCTCAGATATGTTGGTCCCCAGTGAGGGACTGCATGATCCGAAGCTAAGGTGCTGGGTAGGACAACTCATTTTCGTTATCTTTTTAGGTTCTTGAAGCGTGTGTTAACTGTGTATACAAGTTGAAAATGCTTATGTAATTCCAGATGTTGAGTTGCAATTATGACCCACGCTTTGTACAATCATTCCTCTGTTTCAATTTGAGAGTCTCGCATCTTTTCTTCTATGTAGAATTCGTTAAACCATTGAGAGTAGTTTTAAAAATTTATCTCCAGTTTTCTAAAATTTACATGCACGATCTATTATGTGGGAGAAAATTTAACAATAACCATCTTCACATATTAGATGGATTGGTTGCCTGAATTTTCAAGTTCTGCTATTTTTAATTTTGAGATGGCAGCAAATAATTTTTTTTAGTCATCTAATGACACCATCGTTGACATTGATTCATATTGTTGCAGGTTACTCGGGCATACTTTGAGAAACATGGGTCAAAATCTTTTGCAGTTTACTCAATTGATGTGACTGATCTCGACAATAAGTGGTTTGTGAAAAGGTCTGGATGTTACTTCGATTTTGAATCACTGAATATTGCTCTGCTTGAAATATTTTGCCTGCATATTGATTTACTTTATTCCAGCCTCAGTACAAGAACAAGTTTAGTTTCATGATAAGATCAAGATTGCTCGTCTTAGACTACTCGGTTGATAGTTCTAATTTGGGACTTTGTCTGCAGGTATCAGAATTTTGAGAGATTTCATCGGCATCTTAAGGACATCCCCAATTATACGTTACATTTGCCTCCCTAGAGGATATTCTCATCAAGCTCTGAGGATGCTTTTGTTCATCAGCGTTGTATTCAGCTTGACAAGTATGCTCTCCAGTACTCTCTGCATGTTGCTAAACTTTCCATTTAATAGCCATTTTAATTAAATTGTCTTTCCCAGGATATGTTATCAATTGCCAATGTTGCTGAGCAACATGAAGTATGGGATTTTTCGAGTCCCTCCTTCAAGGTGTGTATTTGTTCTGTTGAAAACCATTCTACACTTTTGGCTTCTTTGGAGTGCAAAATAATTTGTGTTTTTCACCATTCAAGAGTTATTCGTTCGAGAAATCGGCTTGTGATGAGAACTCTGGCAGGTGCCTGACTTTTCTTATTGGAAGCAATCTTCTATTATAATTGTAGCTAGTAGTCAAGACATTGATCTTCAAGTACCCAATATGCCCCTTGATCGTGATTTGCGATCTAATGCTAATCAGTTTTATTAGCTGTGTTCAAGATAGAATGGAAGTTGTCGGGTGTCTTGAAGTTCTATGTAGTTGTTAGTATACTGTTGGTCTGAATTAGACTAACTTCTTTAAGTGATCAGAGTATTGGACCTTGGAAGTTATAGTTGCAGCTTGCAGCACATTATCTTGGAGCTTAAGAGGAAGAAATTTTATATGTATGAATATTTTGTTTATACCTATAACTCATAGTTGGTTTTATCTTTCGACCAAACAGTTAATGTGGATGATGATATGGATGATATTGCACGCCAGATTAAAGGTGCCTTAATGCGGACGGTTGTTGCTTCACCCTCCACTTCTTATGAACTGGCTTCTTCAGTTACAACCAGGAACTTGTCTTGGAACTCTAATGATATTAACAAACTGGGTTTGAGGCAAAGTACCTCAGAGTCAATTAACAGTTTTTCTTATAACGAGGAAGGTGACGAGGATATAAACTATGTGGCAGAGAAAGTATATTCTTCAGCACAAGCCAGTGGGTGGCATTCTGACAATGAATTGGACTTAAAGGGGCTTCCACCATGGGTTTTTAAATGCAATGAAGATGTGCAAAACTTAGATTTTGATTCAATAGGTGGTTTGAGGGTGCAATCTAAATCACATAGCGTGAGCAGATTTCCGGAGGCAAGATTAGCATCAACATCAGTTCATAAAGAGGGTCAAATAGAGGTGCCTCTAGAGGTATTGTGCATTTGGTAGATTACTTTGTAATCACCGGTTTTCATTTCATTTTTTTTTTCATTCTTCTTTTTCTATTCTGATTATTGACCCGAAGTTATTCTGGAGTAATTATTACAGTCTCATTTCCTTCATCTATCTACTCTACACACACACTTTCTCACTCTTTAAGTATTTAGTGTATTATTTCATTGTAGAGATTTGGCACTACACACTTCTGCATCTAATTGTCATCTTTGTTTGAGTCGTAAATATTTTAGCTGCATCTTTTATAACATGTCGCTGTTTGGATTTTTGTACTGTCCTTAATTTTCATTCCTATTACCTATATTAACATATTCCGAACCTGATGATACTTCAAAGTATATTGATTAATCGTTAATCATTATCCTCTATAGGAACTTTCTGAATAAGCGTTAATTTTTGGGTGTTTGTGATATTGATTTTGAGGCCTGACAAAGAGTTGGTTTCAAAAAAATTTAATGATTGATAGAGTAGAAAATTGATCATAAGCATTCCAACTATACTTTTGAATATTTCTCAAAAGTTTGTTAGTGAAATGTTTGTTATTCTGGTTTACATCATGCCTTGGTCCTAGGTAGGCTACTTTTGTGTCCTCGAGAAACGGATTGCTTCTCTGGACCAAAGCTGATGTCCTAAAGGTTGTCCCAGTCATTAAACCTGGATTCTGAGGCACTTTCATCTCAAACATTATTTGTTCTATTTCTATGTCATCAAACAGATGTTTTTGGGAATGCCTAACTCCAATGTATTTTCCTTGCAGTGGACCCCACCTAATTTAAGCGTTCTAGTTCTGAATTTAGTTGACAAGTTACTTCAGCTCAAGAGAAAGAGGCTGGCTAAGGTGATTTTAGCTTTTGTTAACTTCTGTGTTTGTGAAATAATTTTTGCTAATAATCAAATGCACAATTAGATTCATTAAGCTATTTTGTTTCTTTTGCTTATAAATGCACTTTCAATTATTAACTTCTTGTGATTATTGATTTTTGTTCTCATTGTTCATATTTGCTTCTGTATATATATAGAAGTATATCTAATAATTTGATAGTGGAAGTTGTAAAGCACTCTAAAATGTCTTGTAATTGATCTTGGAATAATATCTATAGTTAGGGAGAGACAGGGAATGCGAGAACTGTAAAAGAGTTACGTGGTCATAAAAGGAGCAACTATCATCTCTTCTTTTTTTCCTTTCAAATAGATGATATTGCAAACCAAACACAAAGTGGGTTTGTACAAATGCGCTTTCATCAGAACTTTGTGGGACACCCGTCATACTCGAGGATAATAGACCAATGGGTGGCTGTCTTATTAGATATTATGGAGCTGTTGTATAAGAATTCTGGACATCTGTATTCTGATAAAATGTTCAAAAAGCCCCTAACTTTACTGTATGGTCCTGAACAAATTATATTGGTTGTGGATGGGAATATCTAGTTTGAAGCAGTTTTGAACTTTTATCTTACAGGTCCTAATGAAATGTTGTATTCCTGAATAAATAAAATAGTTTTGACTTTCACTTTCCGGCATTAAGGAATGAACTCGTGTAGGAGTCAACGGTCTTGAAAATTTGTCCGGTGATTTGAGGATACAAATTCTTGTTGCACAGACAGAAATTTTGGTTTGAAACGTAGAAAGTGAAAAAAAAATTAATTGTGCTTCTTTCAATTTTGCTTGCCAAATGACAGATGGATGGAACTGCTTGGAATTTTCATGGAACAAAAACATGCTATAAGGAAATACCATTCCTTAAAACATTCCCTTTCATGATTACTTGCAGAAGGCAGGTCTTTTGGATATCTAAGCAAATATTGCAGTTAATGATGGAAGATGCCATTGATGATTGGCTTCTAAGGCAAATTCAGTGTCTTAGGAGAGAAGATAATATTGCTCAGGGAATACGATGGGTCCAGGATGTGAGTGAAATATCTTCACATTTATTCTTCCAATCTACTTACTCTCTTTTAAAATTTCATTTTTTGGGAACCTGTTTTGTTTATTAACTTGCTGGATCCTGTTTGTTGATTGTGTTCTCCTCGTTAGGTTCTCTGGCCTGATGGTACATTCTTTCGGGAGTTAAATACTCGAAATGAACTTGACGAATGTCAAGAAAATGAGGGATCTCCAAGAACTACGAGGCAACAAGGTGGAAGTAAGGTCTCTAAACAGGGAACGCTTGAGAAACAGCTTGAAGCTGCCTGCAGGGTTGGCGATGTGAGAAAAATAATCTTCAGTGAGTTTTTCTTGTTCCCTGGTTACATGTCCTGTATATGATGTTCTTGATACGTGTTTGAGCACAAAGAGGAACTTGATTCGCATTTATTCAGCTCTTATTTTATCACTTTTTCTGAAGTTCTTTCGGAGTTTCTGGGTCGCGATCTGTTTCTTGTTATTTTGATCTTTTATTTCCATAAAGATCTGTGAAATGTCTTCCTTAATTTTCATGCTCATAGTTCTGGAATTATGATAACCATTTTATTGAGCTGTTGATTTAAAAATGTTGCTTCTATGGCAGATGGTGCTCCCACTACTTTGGTCAACTTAATTGGGCAGAAGCGGTATAGACGTTGCGCTAGAGATATATATTATTTCCTTCAGGTGAGCCATGACCCCAGCACCCACAAACACGAGCAAGGAAAGTATTGGATATCATTGGACACTATTAAAGAAAGTAAAAAAGTTAAATCTATCTATTTTTTTGTGCAGTATGTTTTAATACTGTGTATTGAACGTGCAGTAAGAACAATAAGCCATTTTGTTTTTCGTCTTCCAGTAATTTGATAATTTTCAATCTTGCAGTCAACAGTATGTTTGAAGCAACTTGCTTACGGAATACTATCAGTCTTCCCTGAGCTGCTGGAAGTTGTGATGGATATCCACGAGAAGATGCTCATTGAACGTGTATAGGGCAGATTTATCTCTTTTTCTCTGTCCCTATTTTGAAATGGTTGCTCTTCTAACTCATTCGTGGGGTCTAAAGGTTAAATCCGCAAGAAATGGCAATATCAGCAAAAATGAGTTGGAACTTCATCTCGTGACCTTTTCCTTGAACCACCAGATTCTTACTGTACCAAATTTATATTAGAATCTTTGTAGATGCCATTTTTTTTTTTGTGTGTGAATAATATTTCGCATGAGTTCCGGACATAAGTTTTGTAATTATTTTTTAGAATATTACTATGCTAGAGGGGAGGGGAAGAAAAAAAAAAGACAAAAAACCTTTAGCAATCAGGTTTTTGGGCTATGATTCTGTAACAATTAATGTTATTTAGAGACGCGACTACAGTTTAGATAGGTTATGGAGACAGTGGCGAGCTTGGTTATTACGTACTTCTTTGTATAGAATTGATTTGCTGCTCTCAGTGGGCGGGATAAAAAATTTTAACTACTTACTTCGCAAGAGAACTTTAGTTACGGCTCTTGTGGGAAGGTTTCATCCTTCCTACTGGGGCAGCAAATCAGGACTTTAATTCTCTCTAACCATCTAATCAACATAACCTGACCCAATGAACACCATTATATGAAGCTAGATAATCAATTTTTGCAAATAGTTCTCAATGTGTCCCACCCTCCTTCCTGGCCACTTAAAGGTTAAGATTTTTAGCCTTCAAAATCAGCCTCATCCCATACTCTTGTAAGCCAACCAATATCTGTATCCCCTTATCCACACCTTCATTTCTCCTACTACAAACTCTTTATTCCATCAATTCAAAATCATCTCTAAACTCGTCACACAATTAGTACAACTCTCAACTTCTTGTCCACATAAAATCTTGAAGCATATATGCATCTTTTGTGTCTGATTCTTGCTTCTGTTCTTGCTTCCTATAGGTTTAACCAATGGTAATGGCATTGGCATCGGCTACGCTCTCGGTTCCGGCTGCAGCCATCATGGGCCCGGTACGTTCATCCTGGAGAAGAACTGAGGTGAAGTATATCAGTGGATTGAACTCATTTGAAGGGCTTAAAGCACATAGCAGTGTAGCAGCATTAGGACTTCCAGTTTGTAATGAACGGTCCTTTGCCAAGATTGTTAGTTCAATGAAGAAACAAGCATCAAGCAAAGGAAAAAGTGGTGGGGCTGTCTTCTACATGCAATGCAGTGGCTGAAATTTTTAGGATTGCTGCAATTATTCCTGGATTAGTTCTTGTTGGAGTTGCAATTGGGTTTGCTCTACTCAGAATTGATGCTACTGTTGAGGAAGCTGAATGAGGAATTTGCTAAAATTGGTTGGTTTAATGATGTTTCTGAGTAAAAGAACACCATTGGTTTAATTCTCAATTGAATGTAGAATTGATTGATTTTAATTTATGAAATAAATTGGTAAACTTTCTCTAGAGATTGTTTAGTATGAGCGGATCATGATTTTCTAATTGCAAATAGAGCAATAGATTAGACAATCATGCTACACATCTAGGGTGAAAAAAGGGTAAAAAATAGGGGATACACGTGTCGCTCCATGGTTGGACAATTTGAAAAATTAAAACAAAAAACACCCAATCATTTGCTGCCACCTCAGTCTGTCTCCTCCTTCCCTATTGGCTTAATTCTAGGTTAGATATGTTATATAGTATATCCTCATCCATCTGTGAAAATTGTGCCATGAGGGATTTAGGTATAAAGATAAATAAAGGGACCAGAGGGGGAATTCCTAGTGGCAATGTTTGAGACTCGACACGGTTTCCTGTATTTGGCAATAAGAGCATGTTTGGTACACGAGATTGAACAAAAAACGACAATATAAGAGTTACTTTTAGATTAGTACCTTTTCTACTTAGAAGTTAAGCTAAAAATAAGGTATTCAAACATGTTTGGAAACAATAGTTCACGTAAAAGTAACTTTTCCTTGCTTTTAAGCTTAGCCAAACAAGCTCCAAGAGCAATCGCCAATTACACTAAGCAGCAAAATCGGATGTTTTGGTTTGCAACCACTAAATAGCAAAGAAAAACAAAATGGGAAGTCCAGCCAAGTCCCTAAGGTAGAAATAGAAGGGAGTAATGAATTGAAATCACGATTGGATAATGAGATTCTCCTCAATAAGGAAAAATTCGAAGAACAGACTCAAAACATAAACAGATGCGATGAACATTTTTATGAAAGGAAAGCTATGCAAAATCTACCCTTAGTGCAAGATGCACCATGACGATATATCTTTCAAACTTTCCAGATTTACCTGCCAAGAAAAGGAAAATAAAAAACTTT